AGCACAGTATTGCAGAGAGAAAGCGGGATTGAGTTGGAAGCTCTTTTCGGAGCCGGAGTAGACGCAATGGGCCGAATGGCCTCTTTCTGTGCTGTATGATTCTATGATTACCTTCATCTATTTTCTTGGTTATTTAATAAAAAAACTCTGATTGATTTGTTGGGCAAGCGTTGCCTTTAACACATTCGTGCAGACTATCTATAATTAATCAATGTCTTTCTAGTCATTAGTTTCACTACGTTTTCAGATTTGGTCATCTCACATTGGGGGTATGGAGGAGGTTTGCTAGGATGATATCAGGATGAGTAATTTGATCTATGAGAAGAGATGGAGAAACTAGGTGAGCAGACCTGATCAAGGTGTTAAAAACAATGAGGGGTTATTTCCGCTGATCTGTGAGTCAGTGACTGCAGATATTACTTCATAATGGATTGATAGATTGATAGATAATAGGGATCAAAGGGCTTGGGAGACTTTGGAGATTTTTTTTACAGTTGTTCGGATGTAGAATGCCCTATTGGGAGCGATAATTTAAACAAAATCCACATTGGCATTCAAGAGGGAACTGGACAGGTACCTTTGGCTTAAAAAGAGTCAGCTGCACGACAATGGGGAAAGGGCAGGTAAATGGATGAAGGTAATGCTATGGATATTCTATATATGGATTTTCAGAATACTTTTGATAAGTTGCACGTAAGAGACTTGTTGGGGCGTCCTCCCGACGTGAAAGGCGCGATACAAATGTAATTTTGTTGTTGTTGTTAAAGCCAGCACAGACCCATTGGCCGAATGGCTGTCTTCTGTGTTGTAACATTTCTATGGTTTTATAGTTCTATGGTATTGCCTATTTTCAAGGCAGAATAGCCCTAGCTTGTCAAATAGTTGTTCATAGCTGCTCACTCTGTGCCGATTTGCTTCCTGAAATGGATTGGGGTTACTTTGTGTGAAGCATTTCTTGTTTTTTTCCTCCATGACTGCACTGCCACACAACATAGGCTCAACAGTACCTGCTCGTGGTTGCTACAATGGCGTGTGGCTAGCCATCGTTGGATACTGGGGTACAATGTGCGCTCTGGGTCGCTACCCTGTGTGAGGGGTGCTATATAAATGCATGTTGTTGGTGGTGGCACAGCCTGTGTGAGTACATTTAACTGTTTTAGGGTGAGATACTCCCATTCTAAACACTTATTGCACATAGTGACATGAACCGGATTCTGTTGTATCAAGTGACTTGTTTCAGACATTAAAGATATTTCCCCTTAACTCGAGGCCTCAGTTAAAGGAGAAGTTTGTTCTTCAGAATGGTTTCGTAATCTATATAAAGGAACTGGCAGTTACACAATCTTGAATTTTGTGTTTCATGTAGTTAATGTTACATTATGTTGTTGGGAAGAGCCAGTCTGCGAGCAGACGTCTTGTGCAGAGCTCCCTCTGGTTTGACTCCAGTTGCACATGAATGAGGTTGGTGTGCTCCCAGCAGTTTCCGGGAGTGGCGGTTGGGGGTGTAATAATCCTGTAAAAGAATAATAATAATTTGGTCACTCAATCCACGAATGTTTGTGAGACACTGCAGTGCGCAATTGGTTGCCGCATTTTGCCCATATAATAATAATCCTTGCATTTGATATAGCAGCTAATCACGTATTTCAGACATCTCAAAGCTCTTCACAGAATATACTGTGAAGTGTAGTGGCTGTATATTTTGTGGGCGAAACGTGGCAGCAAATTGCGGACAGCAGGCCCACAAACAGTCATGGATTGAGTGATCAATTTATTATTATTAATAGTTATTTTTGAAGGAATTATTGCCCCGGAAAAGCAATCCGCCAATCGACTAACTACCAGGTTCCTATTTACTGATAGGTAAACAGAGGTATGTGGAGTAAGGAAACTTGCCCAACGTTTCGCCCTGCCAGGAATCGAACCCAGGTCTTTCGCTTGAGAGGCGAGTGCTCTAACCACTGGAGCTATGGGACTCCACAAAATATACATCAATTCACTTTCCAGTACATTCTGTGAAGCGCTTTGAGACGTCAAGAAGATGTGATAAGGTGCTATGTCAAATGCAGGGATTATTATTGTTATGATCCCTGAAAGCTCAGGAACCATTGCATTCCATAGAGCTGGAGATCACTTTTACACATAGTTTTCATTCTAATCTCTATTGCTCAGAATCTGCATCTCATAGTATTCGGTATTTGGGGGGTTGCTATAACTACCGGTGTTTGATCTCGCTTAGGCATACATTGCAAATCAGGAAGAGTGTTCTTGGAAAACCTATGCTGGGATTGATAGCTTTGGCACTTGCCTGTGAATTTCATGTACTTATAATAATAATAATCCTTAATACTACTAATAATAATAATAATCCTTGCATTTGATATAGCACTTTTCACGTCTTCCAGACGTTCCAAAGCGCTTCACAGAATATACTGTAAAGTGAATTGACTGTATATTTGTGGGCGAACGCGGCAGCCAATTGCGCACAGCAATGTCCCACAAACAGTCGTAGATTGAAAATGACCAATTTATTATTGTTTTTGGTTTTGGAGGGATTATTATTAGGCTCTGTGTGTAGTAAGGAAACTTGCCCAAGGTTTCGCCCTGCCTGGAATTGAACCCAGGTGTCTTGCTTGCAAAGCAAGTGCTCTAACCACTGAGCCACAGGACTCCACATTGAAGGAAGTCTCAAAGTGTTTCACAGGATTTACTATGAAATAAAGTGACTGTAGGCAAACACAGCAGAAAAATTACGCACAACAATTTTCCACAAACAAAGCCATGAAACAAATGACCAATTTTTTTATTTGGGGGTTTGTTGACCAGGATACCGGGATAGAGAAACTCCCTTCACCTTGTGAATAGTGCCATGGGATCTTTAACCCACTTGACAGTAAAGATCCCATGTTTTAACAACTCATCCGAAGACCCCACCTCCAACAATGCCACCCATGGCACTGCACTAGTGAGGTCAGGGAGAGTCAAAGAGGTAAATCTTGAAGTGAGCTTTCAAAATGGGGAGGGAGGGGACAAGACAGAGAGATTCTGGTTGGAGTTCCAGACAGGAGGAGACTTCAGCACCAAGAGCTCCAAGGTTGGTTGTCCATTGGATACAGAGCAACATTTCTGTTCAATATATGCTTTAATCCCAATCTGAGAAGATCCTTTGATCCTCTGAGATTATATATATTTGAAGAGTGTTCAGCAATGACCCACAAACAGTCGTAGATTGAAAATGACCAATTTATTATTGTTTTTTGTTTTGGAGGGATTATTATTAGGTTCTGTGTGGAATAAGGAAACTTGCCCAAGGTTTCGCCCTGTCTGGAATTGAACTCAGGTCTCTCACTTGCAAAGCGAGTGCTCTAACCACTGCGCTACAGGACTCCAGGACTTCTAGACGTCTCAAAGTGCTTCACAGAATATACTGCAAAGTGAATTGACTGTATATTTCTGTACTTAGTCTGCCGAGTGGCCAACAAGTGACTGTCCTTTGGGATGGGGGAGTAGGGGGAGGGAAGTAACCAGGGACTCCTTGGTCTGTCTCTCAGATGATGTGTCCACCAATGGAATATTGGAATTGAGTAGATCCTACAGATTCCAATTCCTTAGCCAGGCGGGTATGCAATAATTCAAGGCGCTGTTCCTGAAATGGATTAGGGTTGACAGGCCAGCTAGCTTGTTGGCAGTGTCTGGGGGCAAGGATTCTTCCCACTTGGCTGCTGTTAACACTGCAGCGTAGATTCACTCGGTTAGTTCCTGGGATGAGGGGACTGATCTATGAGGATAGGCTGAATAAACCAGGGCTGTATTCTCTAGAGTACAGAAGAATTAGGGGAGATCTTATTGAAACATATAAGATTCTTAAAGGGCTGATAAAGTAGACACAGAGGGTCTGTTTCCCCTGGTGGGAGAATCTATAACCAGGGGTCACAGTCTTAAAATTAAGAGTCAGCCTCTTAGAACAGTTTATGGAACTCACTCCCCCAGAAGGCTGTAGATGTCAGTCCTTGAACATCTTCAAGGCTGAGACTGATAGATTTTAAAAAATAGGGATTAGGGGATATGGGGATATGGCAGGTAATCAGAGTTAGGTCAGAAGATCACCCGTGATCTTATTGAATGGCGGGGCAGCTCGAGGGGCCGAATGGCCTACTCCTGCTCCTAATTCTTACGTTCTTATGAAAGCCAAACCTTTAATGGGTAGATTGATTCTAGCTGGACAATCAGCAGAAAGTTTGCCAGGCAGTATTTGCAATGGAAAGCTGTGCAGTTTTAACTGGTTAAAGTTCAGCAATACCCAATGTACATTGTGGAGGCCCCAAGTCTTGGCTCTTGCCAACTTAATAACCCTTGTATCTGATATAGAACCGTATCATGTCAAAACATCTCATAAGAACATAAGAATTAGGAGCAGGAGTAGGCCATTCGGCCCTTCGTGCCTGCTCTGCCATTCGATAAGATCATGGCTGATCTTCTCACCTAACTCTGATTACCTGCCCTATCCCCATATCCCCTAATCCCTCTATTTTTCAAGACTCTCGGAAACACTTCACAGGATTTACTGTAAAGTGTAGTGATTGTGTATTTGTAGGTGAATGTAGCAATTTGTGCATAACAATGTCCCCACAAAACGACCGCATAGTGAATGACCAATTTTATCTGGGGGATTGTGGGAGAGTCACCCTTCTCTCTCAGATCTGAACAGATCTGCACCTGAACAGACATAGACACCTCAGTTTAACATCTTGTCTGAAGGATAGATTGCGTGTCTGCATCCCACCATTTCCTGTGTCCATCAATGGCCAGCAGTTCTTTGCCCGTTTGTGTCAGCAAGTGTCTGCTCATCAGTGCCATTACTTCCTCTGCTATCAATGTCCAGCAATTCCTGTGCCCATCTGTTCTTCTGCTCCTGAATGCTCACCAGCATCCAGCAGTTCCGTGCCTATTATCAGAAGCTGTTAAACCCATGTCTCATGTTAACCTCTTCCTGTTTTTAGGTGATGATGCACTCATATCGAAGAAGAAGCTCTGAGGTACAAACAGTAAGAACCTAACTCGAGACCATAGGAAAGAAGAGAAAGGAATTGTTTCACAAGGAAGGTGAATCTAAGATGTCCTTAAGCAGCAGCAGTTCAGCTGGGAAAGGTGTGGATTCGAATGCTGTTGAGGCTTATGACAGTGGCGATGAATGGGATATCGGAGTTGGGAATTTAATCATTGACTTGGATGCAGATTTGGAAAAAGATCAACAGAAAATGGAAATGTCTGGATCAAAAGAAGGGAGCATTCCGGTGCCAGGCGCCGTGGCAACGCTCCCAGAAAATATTAAGTTTGTCACACCGGTTCAGGCACCTCAAACCAAGGAGAGCAAATCAAAGGCTAAGAGGAGCAAAACTGCAAAAGAAGGAAGTAAATCTGTCTCTGCCGCTTCCCTCTACTCTGTGGGGGAGTCAGGAAATGGAAAGAAGGATATGCAGGGACGTCCCGGAGATGGGGCCAATCCCACTGGACTGGGGTCTTCCAATACCTCCTCCAAAGGGTTGGAAAAGGGCCCAAAGACTGTCCGCAATGGAGCGGGCTCCAAAAAGGAGAAAGACGGTGGATCTGGTAAAAGCAAAAAGGATAAAGGTGAGGGCAGCGGCCAGCCTCTGCCTGGGAGCGAGGCAACAACTGCACAGCTAGGGCTGGGATCAGGGTCAAAGGGGAGCCCGTTTGAGTGCACTCAGGCCATAAGTTGCTCAGAAGGAGGAGCCGCTTCTCAAGTGCTGGATTTAGGAAATGCACCGCTGGATACAAACACCATCTCCAGTCTGTTGGGAATTAAAACGGAAGCTGAGGAGACTGACAATGACTGTCGTCCACTGAAGAAGATAAAAACAGAAAAGGTAAGGAAGGGAGTGGGTGTGTGTGTGTTGTGTGTACGCTCACAGCAATGGGCACTGGAGTGCTTCCGGCTGTGTTTTGTGAAGCGGTCAATTTGTGGAACTGCTTCATACAGTGAGAGCTGACAGTGTCTTAGTGCTCAGAGGATACGTTCCTCATCAACTGTTTCCATTCCTCCCTCTCCTCCCCCACCCGGTTTCAACACGTCAGTCAGTTCTCAAGTGCTGCAGAACAGCAAGATGAAATCAAAAGGAAGTTAATGCTAATTCTGTAGTACAATTGGTTGTTACATGTGCTGATGGTGTGAATCTTGCTTTAATGATTTAGTGTTCAGTCATTCTGAGGCGTGGGTCTGGATTAATGATTTCCATTTTGCCTTCAGACCCCCCACGCCTGTGAAGACTGTCTGAATACAGCAATCAGCACAGACCGCTTTAATTATATCCCAGAAAACCTTCCACTCGGCTAGCAGGCTCAGGGAAACTCGATGAAAAGTGAGATGTCTGAGAGGAATTGTTTGAACGATTTAAATGGCAGAGCTTAACGTTTGAGAGAAGTGGTTCCCACGGTGACTCGGCCACAGAGCAGCTGGTTTCTGAATGTGTGCCAGGTTCTTCGTGTGGCAGTTTATGTTGCAGGTTTACGTTGTGTGTTTTGGCTGGGTTTAGCAGTAATTTGAAGTATAAAGTAAGTGGCCATTTTGTTGTTGTTGGGAAGAAGGAGCCTACAATGTTGTCACTGACCGCAGGATCTCCTGGTCCAAGTGTTCCTGAGTTTTCATTGTTCAGCTGTACTTTGGGCTGCTGTCATCACTTGGGATTATGGACTGAAAGTGGACAAGGATTCAGATTTTTCTGTCATGCGGTTGGGAATGAATTTAGGGCGGCTCGAGAACCTATGAGTACTGAGATGGTGTGTGAGGAACACACTGGGCACTGGGATGGTGCGTGATGGTGCGTACACTGAGCACTCTGCTTCTGTTGGATGAGGCTTATCATCACACAGGGAAGAATAATTCTGAGAATTACCAGAGTAATTACAAGTGGGAGAGCTGAGGCTGTGGGTGGGAGTCCGTCATGTTCTTTTGTTCTGAAAAAAATAAACATGTTGCTGACAAGAGATATGTAGAGGATGCTGGCAAGATTATAACTTGTGTTAAATGTAGCAAGCGGAGATTGGTACTGCTCTTCTGTTGCTGTCATGTGCTGTGATCTCTGGCTCCCGCAGCATGCAGTTTGCTCTGAGTTGTTTCCAGCTACAGCTGGTAGTGACTAAATATTCTTTCACTCTTTGAGGTGGTTTTACTAGGAATCGCTGAGCCCACTTGCAGACGTATTGCAAAGTGCCCAGTAGCACATGTGTTGTGTAAAGCTGTGGCTTTGCTATAATCTGAAACCAGCGGGAAATCGTACTTTTATTATATTTGCTATGTGCGTTCTAAAATGTTGCTGAGTGACTGATTCAGGATGGAGTTTGGTTAATTCCTGACATTAACATGGAAGAAGAGTTTGTGGGACGATGTGTGAGCCTGGGAGAAGCTGTTCTCATTTTATTTCGGACACAAAAGGTGGCAAATTTGCACCTTTTGAAGAACTGCCAGATAACATTTCATTGTTTGAGCTTGTGAATTTTGTGCTAATTAAGGTGTGGATGTCAGCGCTGTGGAATGTAACGTCTTTCTCCCTGTTAGCACTCCCATCAACTAGATACAGAAGAAAGCTCCCTTTACTTCAGCCCAATAATATTTGATAATTACATTTAATATAATGTATTTCATGTCAGGAGGATGTCTCAAAGAGGTTTGCATGATTTACTGTAAAATTGCGTTTTTTTTTGTCAGCCGGGTGCCTGACATGTGAAACCCAACGCCATGCTTAAGAGTATCCAAACCAGAGTTCCATGCATCCTATTTACTTGTGGAAATTCCTGTGTTTTGGAATGGAATGCATACACTCTCCTTGGATGGATGCACCTTGATTGCCTAATTCCAGAGAGTATTAGGCACAGGGTGACAAGAGCCAAGGCTTCAGGGCCCCAGACAGTGTGTTGGATGGAGTACTGCTGAAATTTAACCAGCTAAAGCTGTTTAGCTCAGCATTCAAAACTCTGTATGGCGAGCTTCTTTGCTGCAGACTCACCTGGAATAGGAACCGGACTGGAGACTGACACAGAGGATTGATTTGATTCCACATTCTGTTGCCAAATACATCACCTTGGAGCCAATTCAGCTCCAAGCAGACTCTTGTCCAAGCATACCTCCCCCCCACCAGAAGATAATGAAAATAATTGTACATTTACTATATATTTTGTAGTGTGTTTTGGCCAGAACACTGGGAGAAATCCCTTTTCGAATTGTGCTCTGGGATCTTGAACGCCCCCACCTGAACAGGCAGATGCCTCAGTAATGCCTCATCTGAAGAATAGAGCTTCCCACAACATAGCAGTCAATAGGCTATGTGAGTTCAAAGTCCCCAAGTGAGATTTGAACTCAGTCTCTATCTCCAAGGTGAGAGTGCTCCCAACTGAGCCAAGCTGACACCCATGAGTGTGCTAATAACCTATGGGGTAACCATGTTCAAATGCATACTGGCTTCCTTAATTATATAAGGAATCACCAATAAAATGGATTACAGGTGATTACCTTCAGCCCTTAATTTAGATCCCTTAATTTCACTGCTCCATACAGCATGAGTAAGATGTTTTTCCTTTCAATAACAGCCATGTACTCCGGGTTGGAAATTGGGCTGAAACTGTCCCAAACTGGATTCTTACAGCCGACAGAGGGAAGAGACCTTGATGCAAATCCGCAGTCTCCCAAGGGTCTGCAATGTATATAGCCACTTGTGATTATCAGAGCAAATCTTTTTCTTCTAAATGAGCTTCCATATATTGTAGCTCAGGTGTGCAAGCTGACAGCTGGCAGGCTGCTCTCGAGATTGCATTGCCTGAACCCAAGCCTCCCATCATGTTGGATTGTGTTGCTGTTGGTAACTGCGTTTATGTTGTGAAGAGCTCCTGACTGAATCTGATGGCCTCTGAGGTGACAGGCAGCTGACATTACCCAGAGCTGTAACATGAAACATCAAACAATATGGTCTTCGATCTGTGTGGGGGGGAAAGCTCCATTTTGCAAATACTGTCTAGCGAGTGACTCCTATGAATAACATATAGTGAAGATTGCCGGCCTTTTCATCTGTCCTTCCAAGGGAAATAAAAGTGTTTATTCTGGAAGGTTGTTTTTTTTTCAGGTGTGCGGGGTGATTTTCTGGGTGCCTAAATTTAGCACACTTTGCATTGGCCAGTCACAACTGCAGATGTTTAACCGCGTGCAGGCATTGTCAAACCTATGTTCGGTGAATTGTCAGTGCCTTATGGCATTTTTTTAGTTACATGCGGAAATTCATCACCATGCTTAAAAGTATTCAAACCAGAGTTCCATGCATTTATACGTGGAAATTCCAGAGATAGGCCGGTCCATTTATGGTGAGTATAACAATCCCCCACCCCTCACCTTGTACATTTGCTACAGAGTTCCTTATGGAGATGAGATGAGTATCAGCTTGGCTTGAGTTTGATAGGCTGGGACTGTCACAGTCAATTCAAGAAACTTGGGAAGTGATATTCTTCCATAGCAATATTCTCAAGTTCAATCCCCAGTTATTCTAGCTCTCCCACATCCCGTCCCTGACCAGGACCACTTTCCTCCACTTCCGCCACATTGCCCGTCTCCGATAATACCTCACTCCACAAGCTGCCGAAACCCTTGTCCACCCATTCGTCACCTCACAGCTGGAGTACTCAAACGCCCTCCTCGCTGGTCTCCCCTCCCCTATTTACAAAATTTGACTCATCCAAAACTCCGCCGCCCGCATTCTCACCCACACTAAACTCTGCACCGATTACCCCAGTCCTTGCCAAACTCCACTGGCTCCTGTCACAGAGCGGATCGACTTCAAGATCCTCTCTCTAGTGTTTAAAACCCTCCACGCCTTGGCCCCCACCATCTCTCCAACCTCCTCTCTCCTCACAGCAGTACCCGCTACCTCTGCTCTACTGGCTCCAGCCTTGTCCTTGTCCCTCGAATCCTCCACTCCACCATCGGCGGCCGTGCCTTCAGCCACTACGCTCCGAAGCTTTGGAACTCCCTCCCTCAATCCCTTCGCCTTGCCCCCTCTTTAGGTTGCGCCTGAAGATCTTCCTCTTCGACCGCGCTTATGGTCACCTTCCCCCTCCCCCCGGCTCGGCATCGGGCTCCACCATTGTTAAGCGCTCTGGGACGTTGCCTGGAGGAACCACTAGGAACCTGGTGATATGATTATGATTTATAAAGTACCTTTCACATCGGGATCTTTAAGATTCTGAAGGGAATAGATTATGTAGACCATGATAAGTTGTTTTATCTTGTAGTGAACAGTAGAACCAGAGGATACGGCCTGTGATTGAAGGGGGTAAATTCAGAACAAATCTGCGGAAACATTACTTGAGTGATTGAGTAGTAAACTTATGGAACAGACTCCGTAGGGAGACAGATGGTGGAAGCAGAAAGTGGTTTGTTTCAAGAACAAATTAGATAGGTTTCAGCTAGAAAATAATCGGGATACAGTATATAGTTTGGGACACAACATATCATATCGGTGAAATTTTCTTTCACCTAGCAACTTCTTATGTTCTTATAATCTGTGCCAAAAACCTTCCATGGACTCGGGACCATTCTCTTCCCATTTCAGATAGTCATATTTTGGAAAAATTTTTGCGTATTTTTATTTTCCTTTCCTGTGGTTCTAAGACCTTTTCTGCACTTCCTACAAATAACTGGAAAACTGACTTTTTGAGACAGTTAAAGTTGAGACAGAATTTAAGAATTTTCTAAAATTCTGCAGGATTTTAAATTTTAAGAGATGGTCTTCAGGCTGAGCAGTTTAAGGCCTCTGAACTGTTAATAAGGTAGATACTGTGGCCCAGCATTTGCTTATAGGTTGGGCTGTGTGCTGCTCGAATGCAG